TTTTTTTCTCGACAATTATACCCTGGTAATATATTCTCCTGGTGTAATACATCAATACAGATACTAATGGTAATGATAACAAAGAAGAATAAACATGATAGATAATGAAGGCAAGCTCACACAGAAAACTTAAGTTGCAATTCAACACTAAGATTTACGTAGTGATATTAACCTCTTTAACTGAGAATGAGGACCTTTAGAAGAATAAATTTAATTTGTACGCCAATGATTATTTTTTTTAATATTTTTTTAAAATAAATAACTACTAGAATTAAAGAGTCACACTAATACATCCGAAAGAAGCGTTCTGTAGCATTTTGCCTTTTATTCAGATCTTTCACTGTTTCAATGAGTTTTTATCGGCAATAATTATGATTAATAATAAGGAGTATAAAAACGAGAGAGACGGTTATTCAGCAATTGAACAACTAGTTGTTGAATTGAATGTGCTTTTCGTAGTTGACAGCAGATACAGTAGGATATCTTTAAGAACAGTGCTACTCACTACAACAACTTGGCTTTCTAATAGCATAAGATGACACTAGGCAAGCAGATTTGTTAAATGAAACTGTAAAGAAAATACTGTTTTTTTAAAGAGAAATTGAAAGGACAAGCATCATATTTTGTAATAAACGTAGCATGTTCTTTTATAATTTTTTCAGTATCGGAATGAGTTCAAGCAAGCTGATGCTTCAATCATCTCATAAACTCTTAAGCGTACATAAATTTTATTTATCAACAATAGCGTTTGTATAATTACTCTGACTTATTCTAATTGACATAAAAAGATTAAGTTTTGATTCTTTCCACATGAAGTGGTGTGTACAAAGCTATCGGAAAGAATTATCGAGTAGTCCATAAAGAATAAGGGTTTAACCATTTTTTCAATATCTCAATCAATTTTTCATAATTTGTTTTCCTGTCTTGTGTTCGATAGAGAATTTTCTTCTCTACGAAATTCCCCAAATTAATTTAAGCAGTTGTCCTTAACTTGTTTCAATCGATACGATCGATTGGTTCAAGAGGCACAGCTTTCAAAAACTACTTGAGGACGGATTTTCCTCACACTATGTTTCAGTTCATTGATAAGAACCACCTTGGATGTAACCAGATCCCAATTGATGGTCCCCGTAAATTCATCCCAAATACAATAATCCAGCGGATTTAGATCACGGCTGTTTGGAGGTAAATGGTCCTTGTCAGTGAAACATGTTACATAAATCCCATACCAATCTTCAGTTTTTTGATGAATATGTGGCCTTCCTCCATCTTGTTGAAGCCTATAGTCTTTGCCGAAGACGTTGTTTCCGAATTTCAGAGCCACAACGAGTACCTCTTCTATGTAAACTCCAAAAAATAACTTTTTTACGAAGCCTTCGAAAAACTTTTCGTTCACTTAAAACAGATTAAACATCCCAGGTCGAGCAATCCGACAATAGGTACCTATCGGAACCCATCCGATCCGACTGGAATCCAATAGAATTTTATCGGATGGTATCAGATCTTACAAAACTATCGTTCGATTCCGGGTCGAGGAATCGCTGTCGGATCCTCAGTGTCTGAATCTTATGAACTTCCTATGAATTCCAACGAAAAACCGTTGGATGTCATCGGAAGTTCATAGAATTCCGACGCTGAGGATCCGACATCGATTCCTCGACCCGGAATCCAATCGAATGGTATCGGATTGTAGGATATTTCCAGGTTCCGGTCGGATCTGATATTGGATCAGTCGGCCGGGGATGTCTTCTAATGCTGAAATAAGGAGTTTTCAATTTTACAAAACTCTTAAAGAATCGGAAGTTGGGCATATCATCAAAACCATATTCTGAGCAATTCTTTCTTGAGTTCGGTAGTGCAAAAAATGATTTCACAATAAATTGCAAAACCTTAACAGTTTCGTATGACAGCAATGAAATATCAGTAAAATACCATAAAGGTTCTGCAGTTCACTCTGCAACCATTGGTTCCACTACCGAACTCAAAAAGAAATTGTTCGGAACGGGAACTTGATGATGTGCCCAACTTCAGATCCTTCAAATTTTTCCTAAAATTGAAACCTCGTTATTTTAACATCATAAAACATTTTCAAGCTTTTTTAGGTCAACGAAACCTTTATTGAGGGTTTCCAAAAAAAACTAATTTTCTTTAGAGAGTGCTGTTCATAATCAACCGTTTTCCTCTCGAAAATTACCAAAGGAGACAATTCTTTGGAGGGCGCGAGGATTCGGACGTGAATGTGGCTGTCGATGTTACCATTTCACCGATTCACGTGTCACTGCCCAATCCTAGACACAAAGCATCATTTTACACTAATACTCCTATCCGCACCAACACCAACACCAACACTCAAACGCCCGCATCCGCACACATGCACCGCTACGCCCATACCCCACACGCATATCCAACACCCACACTGACACCCAAATTCAAACTGCCTCTCTCTTAAGTATTTTTTCAAGTCTTACAAAAATCTAGGTCATGCAAACAGTTCTGACTGAAATGCCACTTAACATTCTAAACTATTTACTTACTACACTATTTTTCAAAGAAGATACAAGAAAGTGAAAAATATTGGTTGAATAGCATTGAAAATCAGTGTTGGTCTTCTTTTTTTCTCAACTTAAATCACTTTCAAAGTCGGTATACTTGCAACTGAAAGAAAGAGCAAAATATTATATTGTTTGTATTTTATAAAGCTGGAGTCCACGCAGACGCCAGGTGAACAATAACCTTCAAAACATAGTTTCATGTTATCTATAACCTTAACAACTAATTATGACGTGCAACCGAGATCAAAGGCATTTAGTACTAATGTTGACAAGAGAATATCTAGAGAGGCGTAACCAAGTCTAGTATTGTGTGAATACAATGGCAAGATGAGTATAGATGGGGTTCAGGTGGACCCCAGGTACAGTCAATGCCCCTAATTACAACACTAAAAAAGTAACATGCCTTATTTGATTTGACCGACAGTCATTTTACACTCAAATCAAAATATTTTTATACATGCATGATCTTGGAAGTCTCCTCTTTCGAATGATATAAGAACCACTTTTCTCTGACACATAGTCGCGGAGAAATCAGCGGTATAGGAAAACAACCCGCATCTGTTGTTCTTAGGGTCCATTTCCCTAATAACAACAGCCAGCTGATTTTCGGCCCTAATTACAACACTCCAACAAAATTATAACACAAAGCTACTTTTTGAAAAGAAAACACTTTTTTCACGATTTTTGTTCGGAAAACAAGCAAAGGTCTTGCTGCCTTTTTTGTAGAGCATGTTGAACTCTATCTAAATCTAAAGGTTCATAAGAACTGAATTTTGATTTAATAAGATATAAAATCTGAAAAGAAGATGTCCAACGTTAACTAGAAAAAAACATGACCCTAATTACAACACAGCTATTTTTTGGCCCTAATAACAACAGTCAGCTATTTTTTGGCCCTAATTACAACACTCAGCTATTTTTTGGCCCTAATAACAACACTTAGATGCTTTTTGACCTGAATCGTGACGCTCAGATATTTTTGGTCCTAATCACAACATAGATATTTTTGACCCTAATTACAACACAACCAGTTTTTTACTGCATTACTGACATGATTATGAATATAGTATAACAGTTCGTATACAAGGTTTTTGTGGAACTCACATATATTTTTGAAGAAAATAGTGAGTGTAAGTTTAAGGGTGAGAAGTTTGCGACTCCCTCCCTCCATTCCCATTACAGATATGCTCATTGCAAACATACCATTACAGACATGCCCACCATTACAGACAGGCCCTCATTACAGACATTAAAAACTAATTATTGATTAGAATAAAAAATAAAATGAAGAAAAACCGAAAAAAATATTTAAAATGCGAAAGAAAAAAGGGCGCCCAAAAAAATAAAATAATCTTTTGAAAATGTAAAAATAAATGAGACAGCTTTTGCTCTGATGATCAATTATTTTGATGAATCAGTAGTCTCAGAAATTTTTCATTTGGCAGATTTTTATCGGTTTATGGAGGCTAAAAGGATGTACGTGAGTTTCATATTTTAACACCAAGGGGCTGCGCTGAATAACTTTTTCATCAAACATCAAGTCTATATTCAACTTATAGTTCGAAAATTATAAATAGCTAGTTGTTCTCTCATGTAGCTTTTTGAAACACTTATTGGTTAAAGTCCATCAGCAGATTTATAACAATATCCCAGGTCGATCGTTCCGGCCACCGGATACGGCAGGAACTTGCAGGAAAAATGCGGGAAAACGGCCGTATCCTGCAGGAAAATACCGGAAATCAGCGGAACGTGGTAGCAGTATTCCGGCCGGAAATTTTTCGGATTTTTCCCCGATGTTTTCCGGCCGGTTCCTGCTGGAAAGAACAGGAATATGCTGGAATTCGCCGGAAAAAAATCCGAAAAATTTCCGGCCGGAATACTGCTACCAAGTTCCGCTGATTTCCGGCGTTTTCCTGCGGGAACCGGCCCGTACTCTTCGACCTGGGATGATCTAATAATGATAATCATTTTTTCTTATACTATGAAGAAAAATATATTGACAGTACTGAAAAAATAGCTTTTACTGATTTACAGCAGAACATATTTTTTTTATTTGCTTTACATAGACGGATAATTTTTAATTTTAGTATTTTTTTCATATATTTCGAGACCTTAGTATTGTTTTTATGTTCTTGAACGACTCTTATTTTAGAATACATGATCAACTGTATCGAAGAGATAATAATGGAGAAAATACTGGGAATGTTCAAAAGAAACAAATCTCTACAGTATTAACAGAGTAAAATTATCAATCTTTGATAAATCGAGAGAGACAAAATTGAAAAGGTATCAGCAACACAAGAAAATTTAACAAAGAGAGTATATCCATTATAATTCTGTATAATTGTATAAGTAATGAACGAGAAATTCTTAAGACAATCTCGGTAGATGCATATGAGTAGAGTGTCTGCACCATTTATACAATTTTCTTTAATATAATTATGCAATATGTATAACTTTAGTGTTGCTAAAACCAAGGGGAAACGTTTAGTAACTGCTTATTTTCGAAAAACGAAAAGAAAATCAATTAGAAAAATTGATTTTCCGATTCTTCTGAAGGAACTTTTTTCAACTGCGTTTACAGTTGGTCCTGTTTCTGGTGGGTTTCGACGTGCCGGCATTTCGCCGTTCAATGAAGATGTTATGAAAGAAAAGGTTTTGTCTCGACATGGATTATACAATGATTTGGCCACAAATGAGTAAGGAATTGCCACATTATTACATTCTTGTAACCAATTTGTTTCAGTTCATCAGCAATGGATATTTTAACTAGCTTATCGAATGAAATCGGTTCACCGGATGTTCAAGTAAACAGTAGTGATGATCCATCTACTTCATCTCAAACGGCTGTTAAGTAAGTGCGTTTAAATCATTTCAATCTTGCTAAAAGTCAAGTATGAAATCATGATTATTATGTGCTATGCGCTTGGAATTATTTTATCTGCTCAGACATTAGGTGCAAATAATTATAGTGTATGAGAATGTTCAGAATATGTCGGGCTTTAAAGCATCATTATCTGATATAATTTACTCCATTTACATTATTTTAGTTTTGATTATATTCTTATCTGATATATTTTCATTCACACACCCTTTTAATTCACCTGCTACACGAATTTATCTTATGTGATGAGGTTATGTAAAATGTCAACAATTTGACTCTCCTACTAGATTTTTTTAAACTAGTTATTTGTAACGAATTTTTTAATAGTTACAATAACTGCTTCTATCTATTAACATTCAAAACGTTTCATATTGTTTATTTTTCTGTACAGTTCTACATCAGCTTCATCTAGTCCTCAATTTGCTTTTGACGATAGTGAAAACGACGAATGGTATTAAACAACTTAACCTCAATACCATTTCGTTGTATTTCTTGTTTTATGCTTTAGTGATTCAAATACTTCCATCGATATTGAATCAACAAAAAAACCAAAATCAACAAACAAGAGTATGCTCGATCAAATTTCAAAATTTTAATTGTATTTTGTTTTTATTGTCACATTCATTTCATATTTTAGATTTGAACGAAAGCTTCGAATCTTCATCTAACCAAAATGTTACTGATTCGACAAATATACCATCGTCTGCACCAGCTCAAATGAGACCTCCATCGGCTGTCCGAACACTCATTTCAACTTATTTGGCAGATAAGAATATTTCAATGCAACAAGCACCAGTAACAACACGGTCTCGTGCGCGTGCTGAACGTAGATTCGGTGAAGATATAAAAAATGGAAATCTTCTTGAAGAATTAAAAAAGAAAGATGAAATAAAGAAAATGAAAGCAATGAAAGCAATGAAACAGAAACCAGTTCAACAATCTCAACGTTCGTCCAAAAAAAAAGAATTAATAGAATTTCATTCACAATATTATACTATATTCATAATCATGTCAGTAATGCAGTAAAAAACTGGTTGTGTTGTAATTAGGGTCAAAAATATCTATGTTGTGATTAGGACCAAAAATATCTGAGCGTCACGATTCCGGTCAAAAAGCATCTAAGTGTTGTTATTAGGGCCAAAAAAATAGCTGAGTGTTGTAATTAGGGCCAAAAAAATAGCTGAGTGTTGTAATTAGGGTCAAAAGATA